GGAGTTGTAGTTCTTGGGATTTATAGTTCACCTACAATCAAAGAGCATTCTGAATTCCACCAATGATGGAATTGAACCAAAGGTGACACACAAGACTCCCATGACCAACAGAAAATACTAGAAGGATTTGATGGGCATTGACCTTGAGTTTGGGAGTTGTAGTTCACCTACATCCAGAGAGCACTGTGGACTCAAACAATGATGGATCTGGACCAAACTTGGCACAAATATCCCATATGCCCAAATATGAACACAGATGAAGTTTGGGGGAAATAGACCTTGCCGTTTGGGAGTTGTAGTTACTGGGATTTATAGTTCACCTACAATCAAAGAGCATTCTGAACCCCACAAATGACAGAATTGGGGCAAATTTTGTTAATGTAAGATTAGTGTAATGTGAATGTTTAAATGTAATTTCGTGTAATGCCTGTGAATATAACCTGATTGCATTAGCAGAGAGTGTATTGACTCTGAAAGGGTTAATCAGTCAAGCCTCTAATGAACTGTGAAGTTGTGACCCTGAGTGTGCCTGTAACGCGTAGGGAGGATACAGATATAAGATTTCGTTCGTCGTTCTTACTTCGGTGCTTTTTGTCTTGTTTCTGTTCTTTTTGGTTGGGTATCAATGCGAGTGTGTGCTGTATATTTGCTCTATTCAGTAAAGCTATACGTTTGCTATACGGAGCCCCCGGTGGTAACGGCGCTCCATGCAGTCATGCCGGCCACATGACCTTGGAGGTGTCTACGGACAACGCTGGCTCTTCGGCTTGGAAATGGAGATGAGCACCGCATCCCAGAGTCAGACATGACTGGACTTAGTGTCAGGGGACTACCTTTACCTTTATACGTTTGCTTTTACTGAAGTCTCAAAGTGTCCATTCTTGTAAGCTTCTAAGCTTCTGTCGCACTCTGACAAATTTCCCACACAGAACCCCCATGACCAACAGAAAATACTTAAGGCCATCCAGTCCACCTCTCTTCACCAGGGCAAGAAAATCGAATCAAAGCCCTCCTGACAAAGAGCCATCCAGCCATAGATACAGATATATATGATTCACACACACAGAGATATGATATCATAGATTTGAAAGGGACTCCTAAAGAAGGACAATGATATGTTACATATTCCAGAGTAGGCAAACCAGACACTCTCCACATCAACACTGACAAAGAAACAACAATAAATACTGTTTACTCACAAGCACAAAAAAATTACATAGATTAGAAACCATTACTTTATTAGCCAGATCTCCAGACTGGGCCACTGCAATGCGTGGCAGGGGACGGCTAGTAAGATATATTGCTGCCATCATAAACTGGACGCAGGCAGAACTGGGCAATTTGGACAGAAAAACAAAACTCATGACCATAATTCACTGCATCCTCGCAGTGATGTTGAACAGCTCTATCTGCCTAGATAGAGGACTGGTGGCAGAGGACTCTTACAAGTAAAACAAGCAGTCGAAGAAGAAAAACACACCCTGGCAGTATATGTCAAGGAAAGCCAAGAATCTGCTTTAATTGAAGTCAATAATTGGAAATTTCTCAAAGCACAGCAGACAAAGAGTCAGTACAAGAAAACTGCACTCCAAACCAGAGCTGACAGCTGGCACAACAAAACATTGCATGCGCAGTTCCTTGACAAAATTGAAGGAAAAGTGGACAAGGAGGAGACCTGGTTATGGCTTACGAATGGAACACTGAAGAAGGAGACAGAAGGCCTGATTCTTGCAGCCCAGGAGCAAGCCATCAGAACAAATGCAATTAAGGCCAGGATCGAAAAATCAGCGGATGACCCAAAATGCAGACTGTGCAAGGAAGCTGATGAAACCATTGATCATGTCCTCAGCTGTTGCAAGAAAATCACACAGACGGACTGCAAACAGAGGCACAACTCTGTGGCCCAAATGATTCACGGGAACTTATGTCACAAGTACCACCTACAAGCAGTAAAGAATTGGTAGGATCATAAACCTACAAAGGTAGTGGAAAATGAAGATGCAAAAATACTGTGGGACTTTCAAATCCAGACTGACAAAGTTTTGGAACACAATACACCACACATCACGATTATGGAAAAGAAAAAAGTTTGGATTATTGATGTTGCCATACCAGGTGACAGTCGCATTGAGGAAAAACAACAAGAAAAACACAGCCGTTATAAAGACCTCAAAATCGAACTACAAAGGCTCTGGCATAAACCAGTACAGGTGGTCCCAGTGGTCATTGGCACACTGGGTGCCATGCCAAATGATCTCATCCGGCATTTGGAAACAATAAAAATTGACAAAATCACAATTTGTCAACTGCAAAAGTCCACCTTAGTTGGATCTGCGAACATAATTTGAAAATACATCACACAGTCCTAGACACTTGGGAAGTGTTCGACTTGTGATTTTGTGATAGGAAATCCAGCATACAGATCTCATTTGCTGTGACATAGTGTGTTTTTGTTATCTGTAAAATAATAATAAATTTTATTTATACCCCACCACCATCTCCCCAAAGAGGACTCAGGGTGGCTTACATGAGGCCAAGCCTGATAATACATTACAGCAAAATAAATACAGAAAGACAGAAATAACACCACAATAAAATAAGTAAAACATCAAAGTACAATAAAACAGTGCAAAGTAACAAAATGAAAAATCAAACACAATGGGCAGACCAAATGTATGACATAAAATGATAAAACACTGGATGAGATAAAAAATAAAAAGGTATATTTGTAAGGGAGGCACTCGTAGGGGA